TGACGACAAAATCTATCCTTGTTGTGTGAGTTACAAGTTACTTGTAGTCTATTGCACCGTCACCACTCCTCAAACCCCACCCCGAGAAAGGTTCTCTCCCTTTATAACGATGCACGACTGTTGTTGAACGATGGGCAGTGATCGTCCTCAACATCCGACGGCATCGTGATGACCATCGTCTCCTCGCCACCACTGGTCCTCCGCCGGAAGTGACCTCTTGTGTTCTTGCCGTTGCTGCAGCAGCTGTTGTTAAACAGACGCGCGTGTGCCGTTGCCTGCCACTGTGTCGAGCCCATCTCGCGTAGCAGGAGCCGTTCCGCGCGCAACGCCGCGAGAGGGTCCCGGCGCGGCGCGGCGCCACTGCAGCAGCTGATAGACAAGTTGTGCGGCGCAAAACTGCGGTTGACGCCGAGAGGCGTGCTCGCATTGGGTGGGAGCGTGGCCGTTTTATAGCGCCGCAGCCGCCGCAGGTGCGCCCTCCCCTTCCACGCGAACCACGACGTTGCCAGCAGCCGTTGTGCCCACACTGCATGGGCTCGCGAGAGCAGCGCGGCCGCATCTATGGCGCACCGTCTCTGCCGTAGATTCTGCTGCTGCTTCTGCCAAATGTGCCACGCGCCACGCAAAAGAAGGCGTTGGTACGCGAACACAGCGAGCGACATGCGGTCGCACCGCAGTCGTCGATGAAAGATTGCACGTTGTAGCCAGTGGGTCCACACTAAACGATAAGTACCACGCAGTCGGTATGCAGCCATGCGGCGGGACAACTGCCTCAGATGTGCCCGTTTGCGCCACTTCGTAAACGTCACAACGAAGAGGCGTTGCTGGTGCATCGACAGGAATGTTTCCATGCGATCCCTACCGCTGATGCACCGCAGCCAGCGAACGCGCCAGACTTCTAGGGCGTGAAAGAGGAGTCTTCGTCTCGTTGTCTGCCCGAAGTGTGCACACAAGTGGTGAAGCCGGCATTCCGTGTCCCACTTCCTCAGGCAGCGACGCAGCAGAGCTGTCTTCTTATACATCACTGCTACGTTTTCTTTCTGAAGTATAACAGATCGACAGCGTATTTGTTCTCCCACGCGAAGTAGGAATCGCCGCAGAAAATAGCGGTCCGCCACACGTCCGCGGTAGTCGTCCCTCCAATGTTCCAGACATCGGGTGGCGAGTGCACGGTGCGAAATGGGTGGCGCGGATTTACCCTGCGCGTGAATGACAAAGATGTAAGCGCGACGCCACACAGAGAAGAGACGACAACCACATGTGCGCAAACGAAACCGCCGTACCATAAACGCATTCAACCAGCATGAAAATGCACGCCGCTGAAGCTGCTCCGTCTTTGCCTCAACAAAGCGGTGACACTGCGCCCCAATAGAAGCTTTACGCTCCGCCACGTGGTGCTGCTCTAGTCGCCGCTTCCACTGTTCTAAGCAGCGTTGTTTTGTGCACCACACACGATGGGCAAAGCATTGCTTGAGTTTGCAACGCTCACCAAAACGGACGTCTCGCCAAAGAAAGAATGCATAACGTTTCATTCGCTCCGACACCAACTTATCACACTGTACAAGAAGTGTCTTTAGTAGTTTACCGTTCCCGGGATTATCCCTCTTCGTTTCACCAGTACTCTTCCCCTTGCTTGGTGAAACATCGGGGGGCGGCAACGTCTCTTGCGGTGCATCCCCTTTCTCAGCAGAATCCTTTTGTGGCTTCTGGAGCATAGAGCTGCTGTTGCTGTGGCAGTATGAATCCACGACAGCAGAACGCTTCGTCGGCTTCTCCAACTCCTCATCCTCTTTCTGCTGCTTCTCCCTCGACTCCAGCCTAAGATCCGGCGGGTCACTCGGGATGGTGCTAGGCGCCTGCGTGGAGAGCTCCATTGGGGGTGACGCCTCCCCTGCAAGAAGGGTGCGGAGAAGACACATACCGTGACGCTGCCGCCAACGTACAAACACCACCAGAAGGAGTGATGTACGTCGCCATGCCCACGCGTGCTGTTCCATTGAACGCGTCAGCAGAACTATCGGAAGGGTTTCCCTGAACCACTGGTGAGGGCAGCCGCAATCCACCTCCGCCCCGGATCCAGCGACTGCTAGCTGGGGGTACACCTGTAACAGCAACGCTGTGGGAGTGGCGTGATACTTAGTTGACGATGGAGCCACCACGTGCTCCGTGGCGCCCACCGACGTAGCACAAGGGAGAAGGCGCGAATTGGAGACCTCGTCGTTTTTCCACTTCCGCGCTATGAATTCCGTAAGCGCGGCGAGCATGGTGGAGCGGAGCGAAGGGGTTTCCAGAGCAACGTTGACGGCAGCTGCGAGCTCGCCGTTGTGATGTCGACAAGCGAGATGCGGGTGGTGCTCGCAGCACAAAATATGAACCGCGGTGAGAAGCGTGTGTTTTCCCATACTCTCAATGAGTGATGAAGCCTCAGATTTCGATACATACATGCTCGCCAGCGCCACCGCCCTTGTGCCAGAAAAGCTGTGTGGGGCAAGCGTGCATAGAGCAAGAATGGTTCGGCATGCCTGCGTGAGGACTGCCTGCAGCAGCACTGCACAGCTACCACGATACATGTTACTTTCTAGCATGACCTGCAGCCATGAACGGTGAAGTAGACACCCACAGCCAAAATGGCTAATACTGAGAAACCCCTACCTACCCTACCAGAAGTAGAGACGTATGTTTTCTGCACGTGCGCATTTGCGAAAATGAGGAGCATACGAGAGAATATCAGCAGACATAGATGCATTCACGTGCATTTGCTTCTAATTAAACTTCAAAAATAGCATAATTATTGTTCATTCTTTTCATGGCATATACAAGTAGTAAGACCCTTTATTGTGTAGAACCAGCAATGCCGCATCATTCCAGAATGAGAAACATACTCTAGAAGATGAAAGGGGCGGGATTGGAGGGGTAGGTGTGTGTACTAAGTTACTGAGGAAGATGATGAGCCAAGACTAGCTGAAATACCTTGCGAGCACAGTGACCAAGTGGAGCGCACAGAGTGTAGAATACAGTTCATAT